CTTAATTAGAAACAGAAATCGATGAAGATAATCTAGAAGCTATGAGAAAGGTTTTAGCAATTTTCAGTCTTGGGTCAAATTTCTTCCCTAGATTGTTTCCAATAATACTGAAAGCTTATTGCAAAAGTAAGAGTTACCCAGATGTATTATTCCCTTGCTACAGGACTTAATCCAGGGTTTAATGTGCTTTCCCAACATCTACAATTCCTTGAGAAGGATGGCATTACCTTTAACAAAGCACCCACCTCAGCTAAGACTAAATGTGCTACTGGAAGACAAGTCTAAGATTCTTTACCTTAAGGCTCGTCCCTCAGCAACTGTTTTGGTTTGATTTTAAGCCAGTCTTGAGTTTAACTCAGGCAGGTTAGGAAACAAAAGTGAATAAAACTGCAAGATGAGGAAACTAAATGACTGAATGGCTTGAACATTCCCTCTCTGCAACCCCAGTGGTCAGTACGGTTCTTTCTTCTTTACTTACACTTTCCTGGCACATTTTCCTCCTATTTTAATGATAGGAGGGGAGCTGTTTGACCAAAGACTTACTTCTCAAGTGGGAGACAGTTTTCAAGCTGTTTTACAAGCCTCATCAACAGCTCTAGACTACATAAACAACAGTAAATCAAAATAGAATGCATATACTGGTAGAAACATAACCACAAGTAGGTTTTAAGCCAAGATCTTCAAATACAAAAGCTTAAAAATCATAACCTGCCATCAATAACTGATGCGTTTCTTGGACTAGAAACACACATTACACCATTGGCAAATGGAAGCAGAACACCCATAAAGATTCCAGACTGCTTCTCTCTGAGCATCACCTCTGCAGGCTTTTGAGCGTGCCGAACCTTGCTCCGAGTGTTTAAGACCACAGGTTTCACCATCCTGGATGGCTCTGCATGTGCCACATGTTAGGTGTGCCCAGAATCATGGAATCCCAGGTGGAAGGGACATCACAGACCATCTGGTCCAACCTTTCTAGGTTGTTTCAGCTGGTCTAGTGTAGACTCACAACCAAAGACAGTTCTGCCTCGACACAACATCATCTTTCCCAATCCGAGTTGTGTCACTGACTAGCAATTTAAAACCTATTGGCAGACAAAATGCAGACTTTATCTCACTTGCTTTTATTATCTACATTACTCCCCAGCCCTTGCACAGAAAGCACAAGTGTTTTCTTACGCTGCAGGACCAACTGCAATACATGTATTATTTGATGGAGTAAGGACTTGCCATTATTACAATTCCAGCTATACTGAAAATATTTCCAGGGTTTCCCTTCAAAGCACAGGATTGGTGATTCTATCAAAACACTTATTCTGCATTTGGTTTTTGCATACAGCTTGCCCTGGCAGCACAAATGAGGTAGTGATCAGCCTGTTGCTGTGTAGAACCTCCAATTTATCATTAGAGACCTGTGAATAAAACTTTCCTATCTTTAATTTTAGTACATTAACACAGCAAGGCATTTAATGCCCAGTGTTTAAGATATGCTATCAGACACTGAATGCTGTCTTACATTACTCAAGAGCCAAGTTTCTGCTCTTCCAAACAATCATTGCAAGGTAATAACAACAGAAGAGCAGCGATTCTCTCTCTTCTCACAGTAATGCAGTGATTCATTTCTCTTCAAGCCTTCAGACCTGCCATATCAATTTCATAAGGAAAATGGAATTGGGGGGGGGGGGTTATTGTTTTCTGGTCTATTATTAACTGCAGTAAATATTTCAACAGAAAGAGAAAACTCCCTCTAAACTCATTATCTGCAGCACAAGTACCAAGGCAGGCGACGGGAAGCTCACGCCGTGACCTAACTCGAGCCACAGCATTCACAGAATCCCCAGGGGTGCCGGGCACAGCAATAAATCTGAAGCATTTCCCAGATGAAGAATGAACTTCTGACCTTCCCAGCATTTAACTGCCTCTATGGCTCTTCCAGGCCACAGGTTTGGGACTGAACAGAAGCCAGCTGATTGCATTTTAAATACATTTACTTCTTGTTGCCCCAGCTTTTCTTTCATCACTTTCCACCTTATCTAACGGAAATACTACAGATTCCTTCATTGCTGAAGGAGGCAAAACAACTTTTCTGAGCGATCTCGATTCATTACATGTGATGTAAATAAATCTGGTCCCCAGCGCCATTCCTCCTGCTGACAGCAAGGGAAGAATTCTGTCAACACAGTTAACAACCTTGACTTTGTACCAAAGGTTTTCAGACAGCAAATTATGGCCGCCCTTTGTGGGAAGTAACCCGCCTTGGCGAAGGTACCTTCGTGGTGCTCAGCACGAGACCATGATGACATGCTTTTTGCACCCAAGAGTAAATCCAGGAGAAGTAAGTACAATGCTGTACAGACATTTATCCACTTGACTTTTGTCCCTAAACACTATCTTCAACACGGATGGGGTTCAGAAATGCTCCATTTCAGCCCCTAAAGTCTCAACGTTGAGGAAACACGTTTGTATAGTATCCTTCTGGACTCATAAGTACCTTTATTAGGAAGGATTACTTGACTAGAAAGTCACGTTTCCAGAGTCAGCCCTTCAGGGATGTATGCAGGACATTTCAATCATTTTCTAAACCCAACCATTAAGGCAATACAAGTATTTTTAAATGACGCAGGGTAGCCTGTTCAACAAGGGGTACCTAGTGCAAACACACATGCAGCACACCAAGATGCAGGTATTTCTTGCCAGCTGAGCACAGCACACAACCCAGATACACCACACTTCATGGTACCCTACCCTTGAAAGGTGAAAATCAGCCAGTTCATCCCTACTGCCAGGGAAGAGCAAAGATGCAAGTAATCATTCCAACACAGAGGCTGCTTGGCAGCTTCCTGCCACTGGTACCACATCACAGACAGAGCCTGTTAGCTTCCAGGGATTTAGACCCTTGTCAAAAGATACAGGAAAGTGGGCTTTGAGCAAAGTGACATCTAACAAGCATTCTTTGTATTCAATGCCCAATTTAAGCTTACAGCTTCTAACAGTTAAGAGGCATCAACAGGAACACTGCTTCACTCTCAACTGTCCTAACACTGTCAAACAATGGCATCTTACCCATGCTGAACTAGAGATTTACTCATCTTACTGAACTGGCATTGTGAAGTGGTAACAGAAGGGAAAAAAGAGATTGACTGTCTCAGTTCAACCTCTAGCATGGCACTGAATCTCCACACACACTCAGGTACTTGGAGAGAGGCAGAAAAATACACGAGGCAAGGGAATTAAATACCCCAAAAATGGCTTTCTCATATGAGCTTCTGCCAGACTAACTTCTAAGAATGACAGAAAAAGCTTAAATTAAGCAAAATCATGCAGTTATTAGGTGGGAAGAGATGGCAATTTTTCTAGTCCAGAAAAAAATGATACAGGGATCACAGAACAGTTATTCAAACTATTCAACCCTTCACCAAATTACAGTAATGCAGAAATACAATTACGCTCTCCAGCAACCTCCCAAAGGAAAGGCAGAATTAAGATTACAACTAAGAAGTAAAATCAGAACTGCAACTTTCCAAAATGTATTCTCTGTCATCTTTAATCTATTTTAATACTCGAGCATTAGGAGAAATCTTTGGGGGTTTTTGTGTCAGGCATATACGAAAACTTCAGCATAAAAGACCTGGCAGAACCTATTCTGTATCTTTACAATTGAATAAAGAAATCATTTCCATTAGTTTAGATAAGGAACAAAAGAGTTTTCCCAAGCTCACTTTCATCCCCCGAGTGACCTGACTGTACATCCTTCATTAAGGTTATAACTCAGTCTTATCTATCACTTGCTTAGCTTAATTACATCATATCATTAATATCATTAATTCCTGCCACTGCCCATAAAACTCACAGCCTCGTGCCAATTCTGCAAAATAGGTCAGAACTGAATTAAACACAGCACACCGAGCTGCATCAAACCACCATCGAGTGCCACACTGCATCAAGCACGCAAGGATCTCAGAAGACAGAGCACCATCTTCAGTCTTCTGGCTCAAGAAACAAGGGAATTAAAATGTGGAAGGGTTTTTTTGGCATGATCGGAATTTCTTGGCTTACACAACACTCTGAGTTAAAGTAGAGCTCTACTGCATCTGAGCAGCCTCAGAGAGACTAAAGGCTTTGGGGCTTCTTCCCCAGCTTTGAAAGAAGGGCAGAATTGGCCACAATGCTTGACTTCTGTACCAGTTACCCACAGAAAGCAAGAGGCATGCTCAGAGAGCCAGTGCCTAGACCAGGGGGGATAAAACACAAGGTGCAGCTCAAGGTACAGGTAACAAAAGGAGAGTATTCCCCTCCATGTGTTTGTTAATAAGGTGCAGAACTGCTGCTCAGTTTTACGTAGATGTGGTTAAATAGAGCTGCCACACAGCAGAAATGCTGTGAGTGTCAGCATAAACCTCCCTCCATATGCCACTTCCTGAAGAGGAATACTTTGGCTGGTCAATACTGAGCAACTCTTGTTATCCCTTCTTAATTTCTGTAACTTCTCCACCTCTTATGTACCAGAAGCATACCTGGAACTTCTGAAACACAGCTAAGAGACAAAACGTATCATCTGAAATATATATCTATTTAGTACTAACTCAACAGTATATTTAAGGACTATGAAAAACTTCATATATGTCCTTGACAAGGAAGACCTAAGTCACAGCACTGTAGGTCAGTTTTCAGATAGGTCAGAGCAGGGCTGATCACTTCTCCTCCTTTAGTTGGCACTGACCACATTTAATATTAAATGAATATATAGCAGCGTTTAACCGTGCTCAAGATGCATTATATAAGCAAATTCCCATTTAAATCCTTGTGAAATTAAGAGCAGTTTGAATGATAAATCAGAATACCACATAACAGTATTAAAAGAAGCAGAAGAGTGCGTTTTGTTTTGTTTTAAATGGGGCACAACCCCCACAACACAGGGTCTTTCACTGACCACACAATAAAACTCCAGCAAAAGGTCACCTGGAGATGCGTTCTGTCTGAAAATCAGGTATTGGACCTACCTTGAACTGTAAGTTCTGCTTGAGCCTCGATGGTGTCGTTTCCACTGTCCGCTATGCAGGTGTAGGTCCCAGCGTCCTGTTCCGTAACCTCGCTGATCTCCAGGCTGCCCCCCGCAAGCAGGAGAAACCTTCCAGAGCTGTGTAAAACACGACACGGGTGAGCTGACAGACACAAGGACTTCAACTGTGCCACCAGAGAAGCACACACAAGCCCAAAACATCTACGCAAGCTGAAGAGGCGTTTGCACACAGTATCTGTAGGTGCCATTTACACAGAGCCATGTTAGGGCAAAGGATTTTTAACCAGAGAATCAAATCCCACACCCTGGCTTCACATTTAAAATGAAGTTCAACTACATCGATTCCAGAAGAGCAGCTCATCTTTTGGCACTTGCAGCTTCAGTTGCTCTTAATCAAATGTGATCCGAGGTGTTTAGAACATAGCAAGAAAAACATCAGGAAAATGAAATGGCACAACCACATCATTAAGAAAACCCAGCATTCTGCGTTTACAGCTGGAGTAACGTGCTGCATGAAAGGCTGTAACATGGCAGACTTAGACCTGGACAACATCAGGAAAGAGGCACACGTGGTGTAACACATAGTAATTGCACTTTGGCAAAAAGGCAGCCACTCTGTCACTAAGGTGCAATATTTCAGAGCAAGATACAGGTTAAAGACATTTTCAAGATACAAATTCATCAAGATGACAACGTTTCTGTACAGAATTTCCCCCCTTGTAAAGCCAGGGGGAAGCATTTAGAACTCAGTCCTTAGAAACTACCTGCTTTTTATGCTTAATGTACTAGATACATGTGGCATCTTATACTAAACATAGTACCCACAGCCAACAGCAATGTTCTTCTCTTACTGCAACCATGATACAGAAGTTTCCAAGATCCTTTATCACTCCAAGTAGCAAAAAACAAAGAAAGAAACAAACAGATCAACCCAACTGCTTTCTCCATTTGAAATTTTAAATTCTGTTAGTAGAGCCAATGCTTTCACCTGCTTTGAAAGGTGAATTGTTAGGACACGAAGACTTTTGACTCACCTAACTAATTACCGCATTAGTATTGATTTATGATACTACTATAATTGTTGATCAATTTTCTGATTCAATACATTAGAAGCAAACAAAATGTTTATTGGAACTAAGTGAAGGAAAGTCTTAAAAGCATCCAGAGAGATGTCCTACCCAGGTACACCATAAGGAAAGGCATCCTGTTTTCATGCTCTAGTAACAGGAGGATTACACTTGGTTTTCTAGTAGCGTAGTGAATTTGAGCTTTAAAAGGAAGAATGCCTGAAGAAAAAGTAGAGCAGCATGTGGACTGCACTGCAAATGGATGCTAGCCAAGAGGAGAACAGCAAGAAGTTTGTCATTAAAATCTGTTTTGGAACTGCTTGACAGTGCTTCAAGGACTACATACACATTCTGTATATATTTTATTGTCAGTGCAGCCAAAAAAAAGGCAGGAGCCTTCTATCATGAAATATGTAGAAAAAAATAGGAGCTTTTGTGGTAATAAATAGTGATCGATGATCCATCTCCTACTTCAAGCAAGAAAAAGTGATACAAAGGAGAGGCGAACAGGAGCTGCCAAAAGCACCTCACCTTTTCCCCATCTTCTTCCAATTTCTTGTATTCAAAAACTGTAGTGGTAGGACAAAGGGTGACGGGTTTAAACTTAAACAGGGTAAGTTCAGCTTGGATACAAGGAAGCTCTTTACTGTGAGGTTGGTGAAACCCTGGCATAGGGCGCCCAGAGAAGCTGTGGCTGCCCCATCCCTGGTGGTGTTCAAGGCCAGGTTGGACAGTGTCTTGAGTGACATGGTCTAGGGTGAGGTGTCCCTGCCAATGGCAGGAGATTGGAACTGGATGATCTTAAGGTCCTTTCCAACCCAAACCATTCTATGATTCTATTTACCTGTATATCTTGCCTAGGTAAAATCATTAGTTTTAAACCACACAAGTCTACTGAAGTTAGCATAAAGAAACTGAACCTAGACACCGTGGATTACACCACCTCCAAGGCAAATCTGACCATCTAAGAAAGTTCTAAGACCATCTAAAAAGATACAAGAAAATTATGCCCTTCCTCATACTTGAACCTCTGGATTTCTACCATTTTCTGAATATTCCATCATTACCAATCTCCAAGCAACACGTGCCTCATGATGCTCATCTTCTCATCGCCAGCCTCTGGAAAAGTGAAGCAACATCTGCATGGGGAGGCAGCAGACTATCGAGGCAGACTATTTATTAGCCAGCAATTAAGATGTTACTAAGACTATTAATAATTACTAGACATTGTTGCATTAGGCCACCAAAGTCAGTCATACAGGACCTCAGAAACTACAGGTAACATGGTAGCATTTACACGGATTTGCCTTTTTGCCAAGAAACAAGGTTTTACAGTTTTCAGTCATCTCGACTGTATGCCATGTATTTCTCTATTTCCCTCAAGAAAACCTAGAGCTGAGCCCAGATTTTACCCATACGTGATGCAACACAAGTTCACCACTCTTAAAAACATGGAAGAAGGAAATCAACTTGTGAGACTCCCTGGTGATTCCTTCTGTATGCATAAAGCTAGGAGCTTAAAGCAAAAGTGCTTTGGTAATAAAGTAAAAACATCTTAATTTTGTAAGGACAATGAAGCACTTCCACAGAAGAGTGAAGCAATCAGATTTCAGACACTGGAGACAAAGAATCAGCTTAATGTAAAAATGATAACATAATTTAAAGTGTCATTAAAACCAACAAAGATTGATCATTCGAATGTCAGGGAACAGGAAAATCAAATTCAAATCTTTTATATGCATTCTATACAGCCCTCAGTTACACACTCATACACAATTACTGGAGCTATTTTGGATACCCACTCACATGATTTTTTTGTGTTTCATTATCACAAAACATAGTGAGTCTTTATTAATTTACTGTATTCAAGTAGCCAGTTATACCCTGAGGTTTTGGCTCCCCCCCTTTTGAATTACTATTCCCCAAGCATCTTATAATCTATTTGCAGTGTTGGTAAAGTACAGCAGATAAAATTAGACAGCAAATCACATTATTTTGTGGAATCTACTACCAGAAAAAACTCCATAATTACTCTATGTTTAACCTTTACCGAGCTGAGCAAGTATAATTCACTTAATACAAACCACTCAGAGTGCCTGGCAAACAATAATCTGCAATCATTAAAACCGTCACACATTTGTATGAAGTACTAATGAAAACCCCCTGCACTAAGAGTACCTATGTGATCGTACGTTTAAAGACTTCATTTGAATGCAAACAGCAAGAGCATAAAATGAATGGCACACATGGAACCACAGCTTTGGGATCTCCTCACTTCAGAACACAATTAACCACACAAACCTGTTAGTTTTCGGAAGGCATTTTTCAGTGTAAGATTTCACTGTACTGGACAGCTCAAAACCACCTAAGAGTTCCCTGTACTTGAACAGCCTTATTAGAACAGGATGTTGTAGTTCAGAGACCTTTCAGCTGTTAACTTGTGCGTTCACTTGTAATTTCTTCCGTATCAATGTCCAAATACAAATCAAGATACACAATATGTGCTCTTTGGGCACACACACCGATCCACACACCGCAAAGGCTGCGAAGCAGAACTTCATCTTCCAAACACATGAAACTCTGTGCCTGTCTTGCACGCTCCAAAACCCCGTCTTGGCATCAAAGCTGCCAAAAAACTACTCAATTTGGATATCGAATTTCCCTTATAGTATCGGGTAATACTGACAACATGGTAGATCTTACTTTAGAAGGTTTTCTGTAAAGGACGTAAGTTTTATTCAATCAGCTTTATGCTTCAGTGACTTTCCTCGCTTCCTTCCATTTCTCTCCACATTTCCTATGCTCCTGGCAGAGAAATTACTCACCGAGTTCATGGAAGAAGTCCAGCTGAACAAGCAGAATGCACATTAGTGTTGCTGACTCACACACAACAGGGCAGGTGTCCACTGGCAGTGCTCTCCAAGAACTGTGTGCAATATCCCCTATACCTCAAGATTATACCCACATGAATCCATCGACTCTAGAGGCTGCCTTCATATTTTGAAGCTCTAGCTTGGAGCTATGAGCACCAACAACATAAACCTCAACCTGAAGCAGGGTTTAGCCTTTTCCTTTCTTCTCAATGTAGTTTTGAGAAGACTATCACATATCATCAAACTACTGCTTGGCCAGCAAGCCAATTCAATGAAAAGCTTCCATCACAAGGCCAGTGCTTTGCTCAGTCACAGGTTATGGGGTCCAGTTTTCAACTTGCTGATTTTTTTATCTCTGAAATTGTGAACGCTGGAAGAAAGGCCTCAGAGGAGCAGACCACAACCAGACAGCAATGCCTATAGAACAGCACACAGGCAGTGCAAGCATACACAGACCCTTCCTCCAAAGAGTACAGAATCATAGAATCATAGAATAATTACGGTTGGAAAGGACCTTAAGATCATCAAGTTCCAACCCCCCTGCCATGGGCAGGGACACCTCACACTAAACCATCTCACCCAAGGCTTTGTCCAACCTGGCCTTGAACACTGCCAGGGATGGAGCATTCACAACCTCCCTGGGCAACCCATTCCAGTGCCTCAGCACCCTCACAGGAAAGAATTTCCTCCTTAGATCCAATCTAAGCTTCCCCTGTTTAAGTTTTAACCCATTACCCCTTGTCCTGTCACTACAGTCCCTAATGAAGAGTCCCTCCCCAGCATCCCTATAGGCCCCCTTCAGATACTGGAAGGCTGCTATGAGGTCTTCCCTCTCTTCTGTCAAGAACTTTCCACCTTGGTGTCCCCCAGCACATTTTGGTGCCTGAGGTTGTTCCTCTCCAGGTGCATGACTTTGCACTTCTTGCTGAACTAATTTTACTTACTCTTCAGCTTCTGAGGACCAAGGCTTCCAAGACCTGGGTATTTTGTCATCATTGTTGGAGCTCTTGATGAGGACCCAGAGAGCCAGCAGTCTAACTACCACTTCTATTGCTTTAAAATCTTTCAGTTAACAAGTTCTGAAAGGCTTCCTTCAGACTTTCTAACAGTTTTACTACACTGGCAACTGTCAGCATTGCACTGAACTTCACCGCTTTCTCACTCTACACTCCAAGCTTCCTCCTTTTTCACTCTAATTTGGAAACTATTTTATCACAGCAAGCTCATTTCACAATATATTGCATTACAGGCTGCTTCTCTGAAGAAGTGCCAGGACTGCCATCATTAACACTGACTCTTATTTATCCAGTCACAAATCTTATTGCCGTCTTCAACACATACTTCATTGAAATTAAAACACCCTCCCTTGTTTCAAGTCTCCTAACAAATATTTAATTTCAAAGCCCCATCACTCATTCAAAATCATTGATTTTCCTATAAATGCAGGGTCCTATCCATATTCTGCTTGAAAGGAAAACATTTCATTTTGTATTTGATCAACTGCCACCACTTAAAAGGGAGTAAAAATCAGGCCCAGCCCTGACCATGCTATCCGAGTTCTGCTTCCTAACCCCATCCACACACAGAGGCATGCATCTATATACATGTGTGTATACCTACATATACGCATGGGAATGTGTGTAGTGTGTGTGTGTATAGACAAAACCCACGATTTAAGAGCTTTTCCCAGACAGAAGATACATTAAAACCTGTCTGGATGAAAACAGTTTTCTCCTGGGCTAACGAAAAGCCCTGCTAGTAAGTAAAGCCATTTATATCAAAAGGGGATTTTAATACAAATTAAATGTGCTTTAATTTGTAATTAAATTAACAGACCATGCATAACAAGCTACAGTAGCTATTTTGAAACAGTCTACCTGGAGGCTTTACTCCAACAAAGAATCTTAATTTTCAGTTCCAGAGATTTTCCAGTTATTCTAGTCAAAAGAATAATACAACAGTTGCCGAGTTAAATGAAGTTAAAGAACTTTTTGCTGTCTCCTCTTTGAATCCTTCTCTGTTAAGCCACCGCCATGAGCAGCAGACCTCAGAGTTTTGGTACAGTTTGATCTCTGCAACAAACTTTACTCACTCATCTTCAGCCAGGCCAGAAAGGTTCTGTAAGTAACAGCAAGTCAAAGGAAATACAATTTCCACTGGTCATACCCCTTATTTTCCTTTTAAGCTGTATCTTTGTGCAGAACAAAACATTTATTTCAAATGGAAGAGGAATATTTCTTTGTCTTTTCTACTTTATCCTCTTTAGGGAATACACATCCAAAGGATGTGACAACCAGCAGATTCTAAGAGCATCCGGGCACCCACAGCTTTCTGTTTGGGAGGAAGCTTTCTTTGGGCTTGGTAGGAGTACAGAAGCTGTTAGTAACATGATTTGGGAAAAACCAGCAGCCTCATGGCTCCTGCTCCTGCCTTACCACACAGTGTCCACGGGATGATGATGGGACGATGCTCAAGGAAAAGCTGCACCAAGCCAAGAGCTTATGTCAGCGCAGAGGAAGTGCTCTGCTGAGTGCCCACAGCCACAGCCTGACACACAGGCCACGGCAAGCAATCAGCCAGCATCCACCCTTGTAACAGAGACATCACACCCCAAACTAACGCTCAACATCCTGACGGACATGGTCATACGTGGTTCAAATTGTGCACACAGAAAGAACAAACGTGTTGAATGTTAAGCCTCAGCTCTCCAAGAAAATTTCTCACTCTGAATTTTGAACAGAAAAAATAGTATCCGTGAAGCCCTCACAAGTTATCGTGACAACCTGCACAGAAAAGTTGTGAGGGAATTAACAGCACTGTATTCAGAGCAGGATTTCAGTATCTGGGCACTAGATCAAAACCAAGAAGAAAATAGCTCTTTAGGAAGTGACTTGAACTGCCCTTGTGCACTGAATGTGATGGAGCCTGAGGAAGGGGGGCTGCAAAAATTTATGAAGATGTGACATGACATCATTTTACAGAGAGGAGAAACAAATTAAGATCTTACCAGGATCATTTGTTCTGACATTTCATCACATTTGATTGTGCAACTCTAATGAGCCTGTTCCATCCTCTGTACGTGAGTGATTTCTTATATTTACAAAAGAAGAAAGAACCTAAATCATGTGCCATCAGGCTGACACCAACACAATTCCTGCATGCTACTGGAACTGTTAGCCATTACCCACAGAATGCTGCATTCTCCAGATAAAGACAGTTCAAATTAGGAGCTCCTGGATTTTGTTAATTTAAGAGTTGACCAGAGATATATTACTACCACTAGTACCACAGACACTTGCACATACTTTAGCTGCTTTCTGTGTCAGCCGTGCCACAGCATAACTTTACCTCTTGTTGCTTCATGATTCACTTGTTTCCACATTAATCTCACTGCTGACTTTGAGGAACACTGAGAACATCCAAGTAACCTGGAATTTCCGTGTTCTAGTATGCTCATAAGATGGACAAAGATTTTCCTGGTAAGATTCGTTCTGCTTTCTTCTATTTTCTACCCCATTATTTTGAATGGCTACACCAGCAATGACAATGTGTAAAAGAGTAGTTTGCACTTAATGCATTCCTGAAAGCCCACAATGGTTTTTTATTCATGCCTAAGATTTCAATATTCTGGTTTAATGAGAAATCACGAGATTCTGCTTTCAACACTTAATCCTTAAATGCCTGTGGAACATTCAAACACACACTGAACATTTTCACTGCAGAAAGCGTAATGCAAGTGCAGGGCTTGACACATCATATACCAACATGAAGACATTTCAGCTTTGCTGCAGCGTCCTTATTCCCTTAAATGCTTCTTTTACTCCAGTGGCAATCTAAAAGCAATATATACTCTAAGAACCTTTGTGCTTTAAATAAGATTCCTTGGTTTCAGGTACCTGCAAAAAAGCCTATGATGAGATTGCTCCACAAGCCTCATGAACTACCTTACTTGTCCTAACACTCAGTCTAGGAGCACTCCAGCACAAAAATACATATTAGCCATTACTCACCCTTCTGTGATAAGCTCTTCTTCGTTTCTTGTCCACCTGATATATGGAACTGGAAATCCTACAGCAACACATGGGAAAACCGCACTTTGCCCAGTGAGCTTTGTCAGTGAAGAGGGCTGTCTCACAAACATCAAGTCCTGCGGCTCCTCCGGATCTGCAAATATGTTGTAGATGACGAAGTTGTTAGAGAGGCAGAACCAGAAGATGCCCATATTACTAAAAACAACCCCAAAACCAACCCCAAATGAAGCATCTCATTTCCTTGCTGCAGCTTCCCAGGATTCAATCACCATCATACCCATGTAAATGGTTTTCAGTAAGAGACCTCCCCAGCCTCCCACGGGAACAGCTCCCTGCCATTGCCTCCAGACATGCAAACTCAATTCACCACCGTCAGGATTCTGACTCTGCAATCTCCCTGAAACTGGGACTTACATCAGCTAGTAGAGATTTACTAAAGAAAGGTATAGGCTTGGCTTTGTCCAGCCTGATTTACCAGGCAGCTGCCAGAGAGAGTGTTTTTAGGCAGTGGAAAATGAAATTACTGGAGCAGAGAGTCAACCCTGACTGCAGTAAAACTACGAGGTACCTTGCTCACTGAAGTAATACAAGCTTTACACTAAAACAAATATCAACCACGGTTTTGCACCCTTATGGAAATGAACCCTCTGAATTAGTTGTGGGTTTGCTTTGAATGGAGCTGGAACGGGTTTGGTTTCTTTTTTCCCCCTTTAAGAACAATCACAAAGCATGTATTCACCCAGTCTTTTACCACAGGAAAAGGCCATACTGACTGCGAGAATTGAAAACATACCCACCAGTAACGATTGTCCAGCAATCTACTTGGAGCTAAACTACCACAAATAAATATGCAGAACAAAAGGCTATTTTCTTACTTTCCCCAAAGTATGGAAAATGACTGTTCCAAATGTAACCCGAGGAAAAGGGTCTGAAATTTTAACGGCAACTGAAATCATATTATCAAGGGGCCCCCTAACACCTGGGCAGAAGATGCAGTTTGTACCTTTTGCGTCTGCCGTAACTCCACTGTATGCTTTGCACCATGATCAGAGCAAATGTGGTCCTTCACACCAGCTACGGCACTCCTGCTGCAGTAGTTATCCTACCTCTTTCTGCCAACTGCTCAACCCCCCATGTTTACACTGCATTCTCTGCTAGATTCTCAGTGCTCAGATGTTTGATGACAAGTAAGCTCCAGAACCAGCCAAGGCCTCGAACTCTTTTTGTCCACCTAACTGAGAACAAACTCCTCTGTACCTACACTACTTTCGCTCTCGGAAGCACATTCTGTGTCTTATTGCACCCATCTCAGCCCATCTCACTTGGGAATTTCTGAAAGTGGTTGGGTTTGGTGTTCCTCAGCTCAAAGTGCTGTGAACACTCACACTAAGCTAAGGGTGTGCATGTCCTCAAAGGTATCAATGAGGAGCTTGCCAGGGTAGTCAAGAGAACTACACTTGTTGGATCCTATTTCAGACTTGTCCTAGGCAGAGGGATCCAAACTTGGCGCAGTCCTGGATCGCACCATCTGGCTCAGGCCCACACACAAGCTACCACGATGGCTCTGCCCACATTCCCACTAGGAAGTAGTCTGCTTGCTCCAGAAATAAGACCATGTGCAAGCAGGCGGGTAACGAAGCGAGAGCGACCCGGAGTAGCGCACGGAGCAAGCCAAGCTGCAGAACATGGATGTAACAGATTGCCAGCAAGCAATCACTGCACCCAGGAGAGGAGTGGGCGTGATTCACTGGAGACAGCACTCATTAATGCTCCAAGCCCCAAAAAAGAGCTCAGGTCTCACATTAGTGGGAAATGCTTCAAAAATGAAGTGATGATTTCCCTTGCATTACTCTATTTCACAGTATGTGCTACTAAGAGCAGAGCTCAGCAATGTACCCTCCTGCTCAGTGGCAGATAAAGGCAGGCAGACTGCTCTATGGAAATGGCTATCAGAACAAGCACAACATTGTCCACAGATGCAAATGCGTGTGCTAGAAGACATGGTGGGTATATTGCAAAGCCTTAGAAGCAGAGCAGTGTGGTCACTGTCAGGCACACATCAAATAAGGATTTTAAAAGGGAATAAATCCAATGAAGAACAGATTAATCCATATCTTTCAAAACACATCTCAGACCAAAGAGTCAATTATGGGGGCACTCAACATTAAGAGAGTTTTCTGCTCAACAGTGTAATCCCACTCTCAAATACATGCCTGCCAGGAAGGATGACACAAAACTTCAGTATTGACACTTTCCAACTCCTGACCAAGCAAGGAAACAGCATTATTTGAATCCCCTAATAAAGTTCTACTGCATCACCTTCAGCAGGACATTACAAAAGCAAGTAAACTATATCTGGAGCCAAAAGATTTTGAAGGATCAACACAATATGGAAGTTTACCAGGAAATCTTCTATTGCCAAAATGAGAAAAGTCTTAAGTGTTCATTTGAGGGGTTGCAGAAACATGAAGGCAAACCAAACCAAAATAACTCACATAAGCACCTTTTCCAAAAGAGCTATGCTTCAAAAGCTCCATCCTTAGTCAAAGAAAAGATGAGGCTTTCTGAAAAGAAAGCTTCAAGAACTTAATGAAACAACTTACTACTTCAAGCATGATTCATATCCAAAGGATAACAACTCAATTGTAAATGACAGCTGCAATTGTAAAAGTGAGGTATTTTAAAGTGTATTTTAGCATTTTAAGTAGAAAAGTGACCATTATGAGAAAGGCCTACAGGAAACCTGGAGGGGGGCTTGGGACAAGGGCCTGTAGGGACAGGCCAAGGGGAATGGCTTGAACCTGCCCGAGGGGAGACTGAGATGAGCTCTTAGGCAGAAGCTCTTCCCTGTGAGGGTGCTGAGGCGCTGGCACAGGGTGCCCAGAGAAGCTGTGGCTGCCCCATCCCTGGCAGTGCTCAAGGCCAGGGTGGACACAGGGGCTTGGAGCAAGCTGCTCTAGTGGAAGGGGTCCCTGCCCATGGCAGGGGTTGGAGCTGGGTGAGCTTTAAGGTCCCTTCCAACCAAACCAGTCCAGGATTAAACAGAAATATTCATTGAAAGGGACCCTCTGAAGGTGCCACCACCTTCTTGAAGTCCACCTGTAGCCAACACTGGGCGGTCAAGGTCAACTGTGCTATTAACCCTGAAAGCCTCCAAAGATGGAAGTTTAGGAGGCCTCTCTGGCAATTCCCCAAAATCCAATCAGAATTCCATCATGAAGACTAATTCAAAAGAGAAGGAATAAAATTCTGGAAATCATTAAGAAAACCCATACAAACACCAGCCTGTATTTTCCTAGTTTGGGAAAGTGCAATTCAATTTCTGTCTCATTCTTGGTCAACTTTCAAAACTCTTGGGTTATAACATCTGGAGACACAGAGCTCTGCACAAGTGTTGTTTGAAACAGAACTAAATGGAGAAGCAGTTTACATCAGGAATGGACCTGTGTTCTTATACAGATATCCTAACATTTCAAAGTAATAAGCAGAGGAGCCAAACCCAGCAAAATAGAAAGTCATCGTCCTTTGAGGGGCCTGGAGACTTCCCAAAAGGGTCCAATGATTTCCTAAATATCAGAACAATTGATGAGAGAATAAGCACCAGATTCTTTTTGGACACCTGGGACTCAAGCCTGAGAAATTTAGAAATCCCCAAACATTTATACTCAAATACACTCATTTATACTCAGTCAACTCCCTCCCAACAGCTCTCAATGACTTTTTAAAGGAAATCTTTCCCCAAAAGTCCTTGAAAATTGAAAGTTAAACATAATAAACAAGTATATGCATGTCTGGGCCTGTCTCCAGCCCCTGCAGAGAGGTCCGACCCCGGTAACTGATGGTGCTTTCCTGCTTCACAACTGCAACATACGGGTCAGTCTCCCCAAGGGCCAAAATCCTCTAGCCTATAGCACTCATCCTCAGCTATGCAGCAAACAAAACCAAACCAACTCCAACCACCAGCTTCTACCACTTCACACTTAGCTCAACTTAAAAATACACAAAAACCCAACAGAGTAGATTCTCCTGTGCTCCACTTCGTAAGTCTTCTTGTGCAGTTTTCCACATCTAATGTCACAGAACCACAGACTGGTTTGGGTTGGAAGCACCTTAAAGCTCATCCACCTCCAACCCCTGCCACAGACAGGGACACCTTGGAGCAGCTTGCTCCAAGCCCGTGTCCAACCTGGCCTTGAACACTGCCAGGGATGGGGCAGCCACAGCTTCTCTGGGCACCCTGTGCCAGCGCCTCAGCACCCTCACAGGGAAGAGCCTCTCCCTTATATCCAACCTGAACTTCCCCTGTTTCAGTTTGAATCCATCTCCCCTTGTCCTAACACTGCAGTCCCTTATGAAGAGTCCCTCTCCCACATCCTTGTAGCCCCCTTCAGACAGTGGAAGCTGCTCTGAGGTCTCCACGCAGCTTCTCTTCTCCAGGCTGAACAGCCCCAATGTTCTCAGCCTGGCTCCATACAGGAGGTGCTCCAGCCCCTGAGCATCCTCGTGGCCTCCTCTGGACTTGCTCCAGCAGCTCCATGTCCTTTTTATGTTGAGGACACCAGAACTGCACACAGTGCTGCAATTGGGGTCTCACGAGAGCAGAACAGAGGGGCAGGATCCCCTCCTTGGACCCTTGACGTATGTTTTAATTATTCATTTTTAAAAGAAAAACGGATGACTACCTGGCAGAACCTTGAGCTCTGCTTCATCGCTGTACTTGGGGGTCCCCCCGCTCTCAATGACGCAGCGATAGAGGCCTCCATCCGTGTCAGTCGCATTGCTGACGATGAGAGCCCCGCTCGGTAACTTGTACACACGCTCATCCAGGAGGACTGGCTGCCGGTCCTGCTCCCACCTCACAAACGGTGCAAGGTCAGCGTTCACTTCACAGTTCAGGATTGCACTGCTTCCTTTAGGGACAGACGAGGCTTCGGGCTGGCTGCTGAACCTGGGAAGGCCTGCAGATAGGAAACAAAACCGAGTAATAAGTTAGAGGTGTTCTGAAGATGACACCAAAGCTCTGAAGCCCAAGTCAAGATTCATGAACGTAGTTTTAAAAACATTAAGCTGCTCTCCAACTCATTAAAAATCTTAACATTTGATACCATAATGCTAACCATAGCTGGTGCGAAGGCAAATGAAACCAGTAAGAAAAGTACCAGTTTGAAAACGAGTCAAATGTCAGTAACAAAAGAGAAGTCTTTTGAGTCCCCAAAAACAGGAGACATACACATAACCTCTCCTCACTTCTCCAGGCTGCTGCTCTACTTGAGGAGCAGACAGCACAGAAGTGGCAAAAACACACCTGGTACATCTGAATTTGAACCACATTCTATAAGAGCTCCTTGCAGTGAGACACAGATTGCTCCTGTGTTCCTTGCAGTGGAACACAGATGCACTCTAGTACTCACTCAGGAGATGGGAACAAGGAGAGGAGCTCCTGGACGCCTTCCTCAAGTTTACAATCTACACAAGATCTTCACTTACTCCCTGCAGCTACAGAAAGCCTCAGCTATGGCACCATAAGGTAAAAATTGCACTTGCTCCCATGCAGAGTTCTCTCTCTTGTGTCAGGGTAGCCGAGAAGTGGGTTTCTCCACAGCTGCCATGCTGACGTGGCAATGAACACATCACTATTGAGTACAAATGCTCTCCAGAAATACCCGAAGCTGCTAAACGGCTTCACATTTGGCTTGAAATGGGTGGCCATGGCATGGTGGTGGTGGATGGGGAGCTGACACAGTGACCTCTGTGAGAAGAGGCTGGGGCTAGTTCCACAGTGGCCCCACAGAGGCCACAGCTGAGCCAAGCACTGGCGGTGGTGGCACCTCTGTGGAAGCACATCCAAGAACAGGGAAACGTGCACAGCAGCTAGGAAAGGGTGAGAAACAGCCTGCAACAGACAGGTCAGAGCAGGGGGAGGGAGAGGAGAGAGGGCAAAGCTCCAGGGGCTGCTGTGGGGAGCCCAGGATGGAGCGGGAGGCAGAAGAGATGGGAATGAAGATGGGAAGTTAAGCCTGGGAGATGGGAAGAGATGAGAAGAGGGCAGGGAGAGGAGGTTTGGGGTTTGTCTCTTTTCTTACCACCTGATTTTATTTTAACTGGCAAGAAAATGTCATTCATTTTCCCCAAGTCCAGGTTGTTTTGCCCTTCACAGTAACCATTGAGTGGTGCAGCTGAGAGCTGGGTGGGCAGCCAGCAGCCAGCCAAGGTCAAACCACAAGCAGTTTGTGCAACAACTTCCCACAACAGACAATGTCAGATCCTGAAACAGAAACACCCTGTCCACCATCACTGGTGTAAGCAAAGGGTTCAGTAAATAAAATACAATAAGGAGGGCGAAACAGAGGTCAAAGCACAGGACAGGAGGAAGAATCACATCCTCACTCTCCACTTTCCACGGTGGTTTACTGTATTATGAGCTCCCTTTGCGCAGTGTGCACAGAGGTGGTTGTTGGGTTGACACTGACCTGGGGAAGGCAGAGCTTGCTTGCTGGAGGAACAGGCTCAAAGTCACATTTTCATTCTTTCTTACTCTCCCACTTAAAACTGTCATAGAAAGAGCCTGTTGGTGCTCCTACCCCTTTCCCTCTAGATAGTGCACAGCTTCAAGTACATGTTCCGATTCTCTTCTTTAAAGTCAGAACACTGTGGGCCTTCAATATAAAAGATGAAGAGTGGGACCGCAGGTTGCACACATTAAACCATCCTGGTACAATTATCCCAGCACACGGATAGAGCCTGCTGGGAAGCAGCAGGCACTGGTAACCTCCAATTCAGTGCTGCTGCACAGAGCCAAGACCCAGAGTGGAACACAAACACAAGCTCTCTCTGCAGCTGATACCTCAGCCATCACTATACAGGAATGAGGCTGGCAGAGTTTAGCTCAGCTCTCGCCTCTTCCACTTCTTCTATCAAGCTTAAGGGCAAAACCCCTTATTCATAATATCCCATTTTGTCAAGTTTGGCCTCATTTATCTCTTGTGAAGATGATTCATCCGCACTGTTTTGGACACTCATTTCCAAACAGTTCAACCCAATATTGCTACAAGTCTCACCTAACACCCCTCAGGACTACACTGAGAGCTTGACAGTAGTAGGACCCATTTTTCTGTATCTTTAGATTTATTTCATAAATACCCAATTCAGCGCTTTGAAATTCTTTCTTCCTTTAAAAAGGGACAACAATTACTCAGATCAGAGACTTTAACCCGATGAAGTATGCAAACATGCCCATGGATGAAAACACTGCCTGGCTGTTAGTGTGAAGGGGAAGAAAAGGGATGAACAAGTTCTCTACCCCTTGTGCCTTAACTTCGTACCAAGTGCTGCTTATCAGTTACATACCAGGGTGAAAACACCATCTCCTGTAGTTTTCTCTGTCCATATTCACCACATTTGACTGCACAAGGAAGAACCTATAACAAGTGTTGCTTTAGTTACATGGTACATTCCATCACTTTGAGCTTGAATCCCTGTTTACTTTCAAGTACATCCCACAGGTTTTGGGAGGGGGTTGTTTGGTTTATGAACTGCCTATCTTCCCCTTCCAACTTCTGCAGCGGTTTTTGGAGAAGCAGCAACATCTGATGTCATGTGTTCAGGCTCTTCTCACTTGAATGAAAAACTTCTTTACTCGGTCTTAGAATCGTTTGTTACTGGCACCCACTTAAGTACATATTTCAGTACATACTTTCCATAAGACATATTTCACCCATAGAAAACTAAGTCTGAGCCAGGTCAATAGCACCAACTCAAGTGCTCTGCAAAGCCAACCACTTTTGGCATGAGCAAACCCACAAAGCACCACCTTCACAACCTGTATTTAACAGGAGAGCTAGGGTAGAAGACCAGATCCACTATCAGGTGTCCCCATGTGAGAAATCAGAACTGTTAACACCAGGAGAAGCAGCAGCCATGTACCTGCTCTCAGGTTATAGCCAATCTCTGATGCTACAGAGAGGAAGCAAACTGAACATGAAACGTGTATGTAATTGGGGAGGGGGTACAAAACCAGAGACCTTCCCAATCCTTCAGAATATCTGGACTGAATTCTAGCACATTACATTTCTGTTTCATCAAGCAACTCCTCTCACAACCTTGTACAGGCCCATCTCCAACCTGTACATATTCTCTCCCCTCTTGGAATACTATGTGGAGCCTTCTTCCACAACTTCAGTCCTCTGAGAAGAAAGTTTCCAGTTTTCCCTCCCAGTCTTTTTTACAACCAACTTCCAGTCCTTTGATCTTGACCTTGTTTTGGTATTAATTATTTTGCATCTTTGATATTTATCCATTCCTCCCTCCCCCTACGGTATTCACAAGAATAAAATTCAGAGCTGCTTTCAACTTCCCTTCTGCTTAATGAAGCTACACCCCTTAGTGTGTTTTCCTCATTCCCCTAGCCATCCTACCCATGCTTAAAGACCCAGAATCACCTGAGTAGGAAGGGACCCAGCCAAAGCAGAGTCAGCTACAAAGTCAGAGGAGGCTCAGGGATTTGTTCAGTCCAACTTCAAAAATCCCCACGGATGGAGGCTGCACCACCTCTTTGTCAACCCATCCTAACACACAACTGCCTTCATAGCGAAGAACTTCCTCCTTAAATCCAGTCAGAACCTCTTTCGCTTCATGCAGTATTCAATCCCTCTTACTCTCTCACCAGCACTGCTGGCAGAAGGACAAAAAGAGACAAATTGAAGTGCCTGTTGTAATTTAAGATCACAAACATCCACAGAACTATAACACAATTGCTTCTCTGTGTCTGGTGAAAAGCTCTTCCCAAAAGATGTAGCAATCACGTTAGCTCTGCACACCAGCAGGTTACAACCACCACAAAACCCACCAAGTCGCCTTCCTTTCTCTTCGAAAATCACCAGTCCCTCTGCCCCAGCTTAGCACAATACCAACAATACTGCTGCCTGTGTCTGCGGGACTTTGCACAGTGTGCTCGTAACTGTCACCATCATTCAGTCTACAGCATTATTCCACTCTTCCCATAAGACCATCGAGGCCACAGCAAAAGGAACAATTTGCCGCACTTGCAAGTTTTGTAGGTAAATACTTTGTTCTTGCAGCAAAATGACTGATGAGGATGTTGAACAAGATCTTTCTGAACTGATGCAGCTTTCCAGTCTGAACCCATTCCGTTTCCGTCAGGATTCTTATGAATCTCACTATTCTCAGTTAAACTGCTCTCATTTTGACCTTCAATAATTGCCACCGGGACAGCGTATCCAAAGGCTCTGTCACAGCACACCCACCGTTTCACAGCGCTCCGAGACATCAACCACTTCATCAAGAAACTCAGATGTGAACTGTGGACAAAAGTCATGCTACAGTTTAACCTTCTCTCCATGTCCTCTGTCTTAATTACCCTCACCTTCAAAATCCCTTGCAAAGGGCACAGTGCCGAGATCAGACTGATGGGTCTATGATTACCCCTTGCCTTTTGGACACAGGCGCTACACCAGCTCTTTGAGAAGGATGTGCCAGCCCTGGAATTCACAATTCACGAGGAATCTTTATCAAGAGACATGCACTTTAAGCCAATTCTTTCAGCAGCCTGGAAGGGAGCACTGCACCTCCCTGTCTGCTCAGCCGAGTGCTGTGACTTCTGGTTTCATCCTGCCTGTCCCAACCTCCGCACAGCTACCATCTACCCAATCTTATACCGGCACAAGCAGAAACTTGGAGAACTAAAGCCCTGCAATTTCCAATATAAAGCCTAACTATGCTTTAATTTAAATCCCTTACAAGTATTACTCACTTTTTGGATGAGACAGGCATCGGCTATTCTGTTGCGTGCAGGTGCTCCATTAACGTTAAACACGCGTTACTTCAGATGGTTTCATTACTCACTAGCAATGAAATTACAGATAGTTTTCCAGGTCATCTTAAGTCTTTATTTGATCATAGTCCTGTGTGTTTTTAAAATATACACTTTAACCGAGGCTAT